TGGTACCTTAAATGTGAAGGGGTTCTCAAATGGAATCAGAGCCAGAGCAGCTCAGGGGGCAAAAGAGGATAGTGAATATCATAAACAAACAAAATACACTTCTTAATTTGGTCTTGTTCGCATCCTCTTTTGTTCCTCTGGATGGCAAAATTTATGATGGACAATAGCCTTCTCTAAAATTCCACCTTAGGTAAATAGCCAGTGTCCCCCTTTTTTATAGAATATTTTGGTCTTGTTTGTCATCTTATCGAGAGCATGGAGTTGCATACACTGCTAGAAGCTCTTCTTTTCTTCCTTACTAACTCAAAATTTCTTCAGGGCTGTTAAATGCCCAACTAAAAGACATTTCCCAGCCCCCCTTTGCAGTTGGGGGCAACCAATGATAAAGAACACATTTGGTTAGGTTTCTGGGGAGACTATTGTAAAGGGGGCTGACTCAGTTTAGAGTTGAGTCCTTTTTGCTCCTGCTCCCCTCCCTTTTCTTCCTGCTAGGAATGGCAGCGTGATGGCTGGCGCACTGGCAGCCATCTTGGAGGAAGCTATAGGCTAAGGACGACAGAGCAGAAAGATAGGCCCCTCATCCCTGATGATTGTGGCAGCCTCCACACCAGTGCTGGTATGCCAACCTCTGTACTTGTTTTGTATAAGACAAAAATAAACCCTAAGACAGATTGTATTATTGTTCAAAATATTCACTGCCCTTCCCTACATGAAAATTATATATCTCCACTCCATTCACCCAAGGCTTGCCATAGACTTGTTTTGAGTAAAGGAGTGAAGTGACAGGGGCCACTTCTTAATATACAATTTAGCAGGAGCCACTGCGTGGTTCTCTGCACTTTCTCTCCCCCCCCCGCCCCCGCGCACGCGCGCGCGCACACACACACACACACACACACAAGACCAGCAATATTCCACGTAGGGGTGGTTCCTTTGATACTGCTGTAATTAGCTAGTTATTAATAATAGAAAAGCAGCAAAGGGAAGGCCAAACATAGGCATGTCATATAGGCATCTTGGTGAAGCTGCAGCTTTGCACTCCCCAGGGAACCACCAGCCTACTCCCTGCAAAATGCTGGGGGAAGGGGACTGGACAAAGGAAAGAGAGATGCATACCCAGTCAAGTTGGGGTGACATAGGGAAGGTACCTGCCTATCAATCACACCTAACAGGTCATTGGCCAACATGGGTGTGGCCACTGCAAGCACAAAAACTTGAGAATACATAATCTCCTAAACAAAGGCGTTCTCTCTTGGATCCTGGTTCCTCTTGGCTTGTGGGGCTCACTATGTTTCCTTTGGCTGCTGGGCATGCTTTTAAGTTATTCCCTGGCAGCCACTTCCCTGGATATGTTTCAACTTGCTCCTACCTAGCACCCATGCCCTCTCCTGAATCTCTTTTAGAAAATGCTCCTCACCCAACTCTTAGCTAAGTGGCTTCTGCAAGACTGACTCAGGGGAGGGCCTTGAGGTGGAAATGGATTAGCCTGGTAAAGAAAAGGCCTGACGGCCATTGGTGGAACTTAAACAACACAGACATAAACTGATATTTATAAAGTTACCTGGCTACTAGGTACAGTTGCCATGTTCTCATTATTATATATGGAACACTTAGAACAGTGCCTGGCATACAGTGCGTGCTAAGTGTCATTATTATTGTTGCTATAAGGGAGGCAAGAGTGGAAGCAGGGAGACCAGCAAGCAGCTACCACAGTATCTCGTTAAGAGATGATGGCAGCCTGGATTAAGCTGTGACAGAAGTGGTCAGACTGAGAACGTGACTTTTTTTTGTTTTTCTTATCTCCTACTATTTTTTTTATTTATATATTTTTATTATTTAATTAGTTTTATTGATTTCAGAAAGAGAGAGAGAGAAACATCATTGTGAGTCATTGGTCAGCTGCCTCCAGCACGCTCCCTATTGGGGATTGAGCCCACAACCCAGGCATGTGCCCTGACCTGGAACCCAACTGTGACTTCTGGTTCATAGGTCAATGCTCAATCACTGAGTGATGCTGGCTGGGCCCTACTACTTTAGTTAGGATTTCTCCATGTGCATTTACAACAAAATTGTCAACATGTTAGTGGTTTTGTTGTGATTGTTGCAGAACTGGAATGTGTTTGGGGGGTAAAGTCAAAGAATGGATTAGTGGATTCCACTGGAGGCAATGGCACTTAAGAAAAGAAAGGATTATGGATGATGCCCAGGTTGTATATTTAGTTCTTTAATTTTGACCCCTTGCCTGTCCATGAGCTCTGTCAGGACAGCAACAAGATCTGTCAGGATCCTTTGTGTCCAGCAGGGGCTTGCTTACTTTAGGAGACACTCAGAATTGCTGAATTAACAAATGGTGTCAGAGTGATATATTTTAAAAAGGAAGTCTGGACACACTGATTTAGGTTTAAAGACTCCTCTGCACTCCTCCTACCTTGCATCAGGGTCCCTCAAGGGACCTGGACTGCTGTGTTTCCTGGGGAGCCCATCTGAAAGACATTCATCAAATTTATCAAACAAATATTTACTGAGCATCCACTATGTGCCACATACCATTCTAGGTACAGAGGATACAACAGAGAATAAGACAGGTTAAAATCCCTTTAGTATCGTGGAGCTGACATTCTAGTGAGGGAGACAATAAATGTATACACCAAATATGTGGTATGCCAGATACCGATGCATTAAAGGGAGAAATAAAGCAGAAGGCAGATAGAATATGTATGTATCTGGGAGAGGGTTATCATTTTACATAGAGTGGTGATCATAAAGGGAAGGACTTTCCGGAGGGAACAACACAGGCAAAGGCCCTGGGGCAACAATGTGCCTGGCATGCTAGAGGAGTATCAAGCAGGCCAATTAACACTAGAGCAGAGTGAGTTAGGGGCAGGAGGGAAATGAGGTCATACAGGGATCCAGCTCCTTTAGGGCTTTAAAGGCCTGCTTTCTACCTGTTCCAACCTCACCTTGTCTTTTATATAGTGAAGAGCCAGGAAAGGGATGTGAGCAGAGGAGGGCCCTGATCTGATTCAGGTTTTCACAGGTTCCCTCTGACTGCATGAGGGGAACAGACTGTGCAAGTAGGTTGACCAATGAAGCTACTAAAATAGTCAGTTGGGAGGTGACAATGGCTAGGACCATGGTGGGGCAGAGATGGGGTTAGAAGTGGTCAATTTCAGATAGATTTGAAAGGGAGAGCCAACAGCATTTGCCAATGGAATGGACAAGGAAAGTGTCCTGGCTCAGTTAGACTGACAAACCTGTAGTCAGGTTTATTTCCTACAGCAATGAGGGAAACTGCACACCAGAGAGGGGAGTCTCACCAAAGAAAAAGATGGTTATTATTGGGATTGGAGGAAGGGTGAAATTTAGGTGAGATGTAAATGAAAGTAGATAGGCTCAAAGCAAAGCCCAACTGTGTGTAAAGGGATCAATATCAAGTCTGGATTGTGAAACGGGCCCAGGGTCCTGTCCTCTCAGAAACAATAAAGTTTAGATAGATGTGGAACACGGTGTCCAGAAACGCCTTGCCTGAAGCTCTGCACCTGGATTGTAAATCGAGGCTGCTTCTGTGTCTGCGTGACTTACTCCTCCAGGTTTTAGAACTGAGATGTTTCCTTCTGACATAACTTGAAACAACAAAGTCTGTGATAGTCTATGATTTTAGCAAACAAAGTTTCCTAGTAAGAAAGGAGTACTCACTCAAATAAAGGGAGTTGCGTCCCTTTCTGCGGGCAGCATGGCCCTGAGAAAAATACAGAAATAGTTTCCTTTTAACTCTTCATCTGTCTTTTTCCCCCATGTGTTACTCCAGCCAAATAAATGGCAAGGCAGACTTTTTTACAGTTCAAGCTAATTTTTCCTTTCTCAAGTATGAGGAAAAGAAAAGGTAAGGATGACTCTAAGGTTTCTGCCTTAAGAACAGGAAGGATGGAGTAAGCTATTAACTAAGATAGAAAGGTTGTGGAAGGCTTTGGGCAGACGAGATCAGGAGCTCGGTTTCGGATGTTTTGAGTTGGAGGTGTCTGAAATCCGTGGATTTGGTGCGTGGGCAGTTGTCGGCCCTTACAGAGCCGGGAACCACCTCACTTCTCTCTGCAGAGCCCCCCTTCTCCCTCACCCCCGCTCTCTACCTGTAGTGAATCGTCTACACACATCTACAACCTTCGTAAGTGCGGCGCCTGCTGGTGAAGGGCTGCGAACACCGTTTCTTCCCGCCGCTAACCTACTTCAGGACTGCGAGCAGGACCGGGGGCGGACCGAGGCATTCACGTTCGGGCCCCGCCCCTACGCTCACTTGAAGAACCTTACAGGGCAGTTGTCTGGAGCATTTCGGAGCCAGCAGGACTTGGGCATGGCTGTCCAGCCCGAAGTTTCTCCTGGTCGGCAGCCGCCCTTGGGCGGTGGCTCGGAGCCGCCGAATCCCGTCCCGCCCGCGCGCTCTCTGACCCCGCGTGAGGATGCCTAGGTGCCTCCTCACGTGCCTCGGGAGGGACGAGTGCGCCTGCGTACTACCCGCCCATCCGGGTCACCACAGTTACACCCCGGGGTCACGTAGTGAATGGGAGAAAGCGAGTGCGTCTGGTCCCAGTCACCCGGATTTATTCACAAGCTCGGGTAGAGGTGGAGTCTCAGCGTTTCTGAGCCTGCGCCCACTCGTCAGTCTGTTTGGGCTCCACCCTAGCTTACATCCGAGAGACTGCCACTGCGTGGTTAGTGGCCCTGGGGCGGCAGCAAAAAGCGAGATGAGGCGGCTTTGGTATTGGCCACGTAGAAGTTAAAAATCAGTGTGTTTCAGCGAACGATGAAAATGCAGACTACATAAAATGCGTCAACAAGATTGATCCTACCGTTGGCTCCACCCCGCCACCACTCCACCCCGCCTCTTAGCCCTCATTGGTCAAGAGCTCCCCGCGGCAACCCTGAGATTGGCCAGACCAGCGGGGACCGCATCCAATGGGGGGCGGCGCCGGCTTTCCCGCGGCGGTTCGTTATTCGAGAGGGCCGTGGCGGCTGCGGCAGTTGAGTGTAACGGCTCCGGTGCGACCATGGCGGCCTTGGGGCCCGGAGGCTACGGGCGGAACGATGCGCGGAGGAGCCAGTCCTCCCCGCCCCCCGCTCCAGCGCTCTGTCTCCGCCGGCGGACGCGACTCCCGGCGGCCCCCGAGGACACAGTGCAGAACCGGGTGAGGAGCTGCCGGCCTTGTTCTCCCCAGGTCCTTCCCTTAGATCTTTGGCCGCGCCTGTCAGCTCCCGGCTTTTGGCTCCCTGGCCCCGTCGGGTCTCCAAGCCCCGCCCCTTTAGTCAAGGCTCCTCCCACTTTCCGTCTCCTCTTCTCTGGGGTACTGCCGGTAGTTCCTAGCCCACCTCTGAAAACCCGGCCCCACCCTCAGCCCTTGGAGCATTCCTGGGTTCCTCCCGGTCCCCGCCTTCCTGCCTGCGTGTTCCTTCCGTCTTTAGACGTCTCTCTGGACCCTTCCACTTGTGTTGACCTCGCCCGGGCTGAGTCTTTAGAGTCTCTAGTCCTCCCTGCCCCAACTCTCCCTCAGCTCTACCCTGCCTTCTCTTTCCTTCTCTCTTACCAAGGTGGGGTTCTTGGGCCATATCGCCACCCAGAGTGATGGAGAGCATGTGAGTCATTGTAAAATCTCAGCAGCGCTGCTTGCGGGGAGGCTTACAGAAGTCCCGAGACACAGAAACAAAGATGATTTTATAGTATGTAGAGGGAATTCCATTAGCACAGCAGCAATTTTCAAAATTGTTCTCCCAACTTTATGAGCCACAAAGTAATGTTTTTATAAAACGGAGATAACAATAACCGTACCATGGAGTGGCAGGGAGATGAAATAAAATTGGGAATATGACCTGCTTGGCACAGAGTCCAGGTAAAGGATGGATACAGGGTACCTCCTTGTGGATTCCTGCTGCACTCTGATTGTATCACCGACTCCTGGCTGCAAGGCCCCAGGCCCCTATCCACCTCTCTGCTGGTGCCCCCTCATCCTCACTCTTAAAAAGATTCAGTCTCACTGCCCTGCTGTCTGTTTTCCTGAGTCACCAAGCTTTTCCCCCGCTTCCTAGCCTTTGTTTGGTGAGTCCTCTGTCTGGGCTGTTTGCCACAATCTACTTGGCTGGCTCCTTATCCCTCAAGTCTCGGCAGGAATATTCCTATCCTAGAGGCCTTCTTGAACCCCAGCCTAAAGCCAGTACCCACCTTCATCTCTCACCTAGCTCCCTATACTTTATAGCCTTTATCTTGTAGGTTTCTGAAAGTGTCTTGCCCGCTCTGAACTTTCTATAATGTAGAGGAATAACTGGCAATTTCAGAGAGGCGGTGTAGCCAGGTGGGTAAGAGCACAGCTTCTTGGACCCAGACTGCCTGGGCGTAAACCTTAAAATCTTCTTCCTGTTATGAACTCTTGTGTGCCTCACTTTCCCCCTCTGTAAAATGAGGATAATAGTATAAATATTCGCTTATAGAGTATTTGTGAGGATTAAGTGAGCTCACATATCTTAAGCACTTAGAACAACACCTTGGCACATTGCAATTACTCTGTTATTGTGAGCTGCTGTTGTTATGATTATGTATTTTGGGTAACTTGATGTCACTTATTTATTTTCCTTGTTTGGTGATGCAGAGTCCACCTGGCTTGCAAAAGACCTAGTCTGAGATGATTAGTTATACTAATGCCCAGTACTGCTGATTGATAGATTTTAAAAAAACACACATGAGTGCCACTGCCTGGTTGCCTGGGTTAAAGTCCTGGCACTGCTCCTTTTTGGATGCGCAACCCCTCTGGGTCTCTGTTTCCTCATCTGTAAGATGGAGATGATGTGGAGTGACCAAAGCACAGGGTTATTAAGAACATTAAATGTGAATACAGTCATAGATATTCAAACACTGCCTGGCTCCAGGTAAATGCTCAGTAAATGTTAGCTATTATTGTTTTATATTTGCCTTTCATTTCTAAGACCAGGGACTTGCTCGAGAATGTTTTACTTTATAATAGAAACTACTCTATTCAAAATATGAAAATACCACAGTTTTATGAATCTGTACTCTAAGTAGTTTGATCAACCATGATGGGGATTGGTCCATTTTTCTTTATTACTCTTATCATCATCTGATATCTATTTTGCATATTTTTCCTGTTCATTTTCTTGGAATATCCTCCATTCCATCATCACCAGAATGTGAGCTCTGGAAGGGCAGGGATTTTTGTGTGTTTTCCTCACCATGCTATGCCTTTCACCTGGCCCTGTGTATTTGTCAAAGGAGTGTTGAGGAAAACAAGTGTTAGCTGCTGGTAGGTGACTATAGAAGCTCAGTGAGTGTGTTGATTATAATAGGAACAGAATGGGTAGCTGAGGTGACTATGCCACATGGGACCTGCTGGGGCAGGTGCTTTTGACTTGGGTCTTTTCCCTGCAGGTGTCACTGGAGAAGGTGCTTGGCATCACAGCCCAGAACAGCAGTGGCCTCACCTGTGACCCCAGCACAGGCCATGTGGCCTACTTAGCAGGGTGAGTGAGTGGATGGGCCTCGGTTTTCCGTCTGTAGAATGCAGATAATGCTGCCTACCTCTGAGGGCTGTGGAGAGGATACCATGGGCCCATCTGTATCTAGAACAGTACCTGGCATGTAGTGAGAACTATGAAAGCCTTACTGTGACTGCAGGTGGGAGGTGGCAGCGATTATGGGAAAGACAGGTCATTAAACCCCAACCATTAGACAATCTGGACTTGTGTCCCAGCTCCACCATGTACCCCTCTCTGAGCCTCTGCTTCTATGATTATAAAACAGAAATAGTGATACCCTCCTCTTGGATAGTTGAGACCTGAAGGACATTCTTCAACTGTTTATTCCACAAATACTGATCTAGCCTGACACTGTTCTAGGCACCAAAGGGAACCTCCCTTCCCCCCCTCGCAGGACAGGACACGCAGACCCATGATCATTCCTGATGAACAGTATCTGTTATCAAGTCTTAGGGGAGTAAGCAGTCCAGGACAGAGAACAAGGGCGGGCTCTTGAATCTGACAGGTACAGATTCACATCCCCACTGTGTCCCAGATCTACTGGGTAGCCCTGGGCAAAGGACTTCACCTCTGTGGGCTTCAATTTCCTCCTCTATAAAATGGCACTAAGATTCCTGACCTTACCTGACCCTTGTAAGGATTTAAAGAGATGGTAAACACAAGTCTTTATTAGCCCAGGGCTTGGCAGGATAGTAATCATAGAGGAAGTGTTGGTTTCTATTTAAGAATGTATTAATATAATGTGAAGAGCCCTAGAATTCTCAGCATAGACATCTGGAGGAGGAGGTGAACAGCGAGAGAATCTTTATGTGTGGGCTCTCTTCTGTTGTGAACAGAATATCCCTGAATTCCAATACTCCCCTTAGTTTGAACACATTTTCTTTTTTCTTCCCAGCTGTGTGGTGGTGATTTTGGACCCCAAGGAGAACAAACAGCAGCACATTCTTAACACTGCCAGGTAGGCTAAGGCCAGGCATGGGTAGGGGTGGAACGGTAGAAATGCTTATGGTTAGGTGACTCATGCATTCATTCACCTATCAGTTCAGTAATATTCACGAAGTGTCTGCTCTGTGTTAGGTACTGTCCCAGGTGCTAGGAACACAACAGTGAACAAAAGAGACGAGAATCTCTGCTCTCTGTAGAGCTGACAGCTACAGACTAAAGCCAATTGGCTAACAAGCCCACTGTGACCATTGCTATGGGGTGATGATGAGGGATGTGTTAGGACAGGTTTATAGGCAGAGAGTAGGGGAAAAGCTATATCAGAGACCTCTGGAAAGGCCTCCCTGAGGCCAAGACCTGAGGGAGTGAGGGGGTGACCCATGTGATGGTGAGGGGAGAGCATTTCAGGGAGAGGGAACAGCAAGGGCAAAGGCCTGGCAGTGGCTAAGAATCTTGGGTTCTTTGAGGAGCAGCCAAGGATCCATGTGCCTGGAATAGAGGAGTGAGTGTGGGGGAGATGAGGCTGAAACAGGCAAAAGCCACATCACATGGACCTTAGGGAAGGGGTTGGATACTGATTGCAAAGAGAAGCCACTGGGGCATCTTTATAGGCTAGGGATATGTTTTCCACACCCTGACCTTCCAGCACCCTCTACATCCCTTCTCTGTTTTACTTTTCTCCACAAAATGTACTCCTTTCTCATATGCTATCAAATTTTCTCATTGATGATATTCACTGTCTCCCTTCCATGGTGTGAGCTCTCTGAGGGCAGAGACTTTCTCGTAGTGAATTTCTATGTTGCTTTCACCTAGAGCAGTATCTAGCACGTTGATGACACTTATTATTTCATGAATGAATGGATGTGATTTAGAAAGATCCTCCAGCTTCCAGTTTATTGGGGAAGGCCCTTGGCCCTGAGTTGGCCCAAGTGGATGTTCAGGGGCTCCCTGGGGTTGATTGATCACTGCGTCATCCAGCAGATGGTGTGGAAAGGGTCCACTCTCAACCACTGATGCGTCTGTCTTAGGAGGTGGTGTGGCCAGAGTCGAGGTTTTCACCCTGGATGTATTTCAGAGTCACCTGACCCCTGGGCCTCACTCCCAGAGGACTAATCATTGGTCTTGAGTGAGGCCTGGGTATTGGCAACTTTAAAACACTTTATATGAAAATTATTTTTTTATTATTTTTTGTTGTTGTTAATCCTCATCTGAGGATATTTTTTCCATTGATTTTTAGAAAGAGGGGGGAAGAAACATCAATGTGAGAGAGACACATCAATTGGTTTCCTCCTACACACACCCCAACTGGAGTCAGGGATCAAACCTGCAACCTAGGTACATGCCCTTGACCGGAAATCAAACCCCTGACCCTCCTGAGTGATGCTCTAACCACTTAGCACACCAGCCAGGGCTAAAATAATTTTAGACATATTAAGAATAGTACAAAGTGTGTGTATACCTTTTACCTCTATTCCCCAAATGTTAACATTTTACCACATTTGCTTTATCATTCTCTCTCTATGTACATACTAATTTTTTTCTGAATCATTTGAGAGTAAGTTGCAAACATGATGCCCCTGTATCTAAATACTTAGGCTTGTATTTCTTGGGGGGACAAAGAAATAACATGGTCCTTCAAAACCGCAATACATTCAACAATATCGGGAAATTAAAATTGGTACATCGCTACCATCTACTCATTCAAGTTTCACCATTTATCCTAAGAACGTTGTTTATAGCAAAAGGATTGTCCAGAATCATGCATTGCATATCATTATCTCTTCAATCTTAACTTTTGTGACCTTAACACTTTTGAGGCCAGGTACTTTGTGGAATGTGCCAACCTTTGGGTTTATTTGACATTTCCTCATACACAGATTCACGTCTGCACCTTTGGCAGGAACACCTCAGAAGGAATGCTGTGTGTTTCTCAGTGCATTCTGTTAGGAAGTTCATGATGTTGATCTCTCTCGTGGCTGATGGTGTTCACTTTGAGCCCTTGGTTAAGGTGGTGTCTGCCAGGCTTCTCCACTATGAAGCCTCTCTTTTTCCCTTTGTGATTAGTGAGTACCTTAGGGAGAGCTTCTCTGAAACTTTGCAGATATTACCCTGTTTCTCACCAAGCTTTTACTCACTAGTCTTAGCGTGGCTTTGACATTTTTAAAAGGCTCCCCAGGGAATTCTGAGATGCAGCCAAGACTGAGAACCTTTGGCCTAGAGTCCAGAGCTCTGCCCTGTCTGGTTAGGTAACCTTGGGCAGGGGACTTCCCTGTGATGAAGTCTCCTCATCTCAAAACTGGCTAATGAGAGTCCTGATTTCATGGAATGTATATGAGGAATCAGTGTACTGATGCCCGTATAGCATTGGATAGAGGACTGGGCACAAGGTCAGGGCACATGACAGTCAGGAGTACCTACAAGCAATAGAAACCTCACAACAAGCATGGTTTAAACACAAGGCATGTTCTTCTTGCACATAAGTCTAGAGGTGACCACCCAGTGGGCTGGTGGCTCTGAGCACTAAGGACTCCACTTCTGCTTTTCTGTTCCACCATGCTTATTGTGAGGCTTCCATTCTTGAAGTCACCACTTGACCCAAGATAGAGTTCTGGCTGTCATGTCCTTTTTTCAGAAGGGGAGCAAGTGGGGAGCAGGACAGAATTCCCTTTGAGAAGCTTTTCTGGAAATTACAGAGCATGTCTCATTGGCAAGATTGTCATGTAGCTGTACCTGTGTAGCTACAAGAGAGGTGAAGAAATGTACTCTAACTGGAGACATTGCCATTACAATTAAAACTGGTATTCTGTGAGTGAGGAGGGAGTGGTGAGGGGCTGTTAGGTAGGAAGTTCACCTTGCTTGCTGTAGGAGCAATGGGAACCATCAGAGGGTTGGGTTGATGATGAATTTTCTATAAAATTATCAAAGACTTACTCAGAGGCATTTACTTAGTTATTTGCATACTAGTTTACTCATGTGAAGGAGACAGTTACTAGACTGTTAAGGAACAGATGTAAAAACAGAATTAAAAAAAGAGGAGAGAGCCCTAGCTGGTTTTCTCAGTGGTTAGAGGATTGGCCTGCAGACTGAAGGGTCTTGGGTTCTATTCCTGGTCAAGGGCATGTACCTCAGTTGCAGGCTGGGGAATCTCTGGTCCCACGGGAGGCAACCAATCGATGTGTTTCTCTCTCTCTCTCCCCTCCCACTCTCTCTAAAAAAATCAATGGAAAAAATATACTGGGGTGAGGGTTAACAAAAAAATTAAAATAAATTTTAAAAAAATAAAGAGGAGAGAGAAAAAACAATACAGCCTTGGAACAGTGAAACTTGCTACCAAAAATGTGCAAACAAGTCTGGTCATTCAGTCTTTCTGCAGGCTATCTGGGAGTATCAGAGAGAACCATGTTTGTTGGTAAAAGGTTTTCCAGAACACCTTGAGTGATTAGCAGTGGAGCATATGCTGCGATGTCTCAGTGTGATTGTCTGCCAGAGTCCTCCCTGCAGCACCACCTCCATAGTTAGGCCAGATCTGTAGCATTTCCTACATCTGAATTTCTCAGGATTATAGGGCTGGTGGGGTCTTAGGAAACTCACTGTTGTAGAGGGAGAGAAGGAAGTTCCCCATTCACTGTCCACTCCATCTGCGTTTGGAGTTTTAGGAAGGAAGGGACCTTTGCTTTTACAGAACCCCATTTCCCTATGCTGCTGCCCCCTCCTAGCAGCAGGGGATGCAGGAATGCACTGTATGCTGTGCTGGGCACTCAGGCAGCACTGGTTCTGAGGGAGCTGCAGGTGCTCATGTCTCCTGGCCCCTTCCAGGTTTGGGATGAGGAGTGGGCAGTGTGCTGTGAGCACAGCCAGGCTGAGGTTCGGCTGCCCACCCTTAGTGGAACCAGTGATCAACCCCTTTCCTTGCCCTCAGGAAGTCTCTGAGCTCTCTGGCCTTCTCCCCTGATGGGAAGTACATAGTGACGGGGGAGGTGAGTTGTAATCATGATTGAGTAGGTGGGAGGTGTCTTGGGGCCATTCCTTTTGTCCCCACCAGGCCTGGGGAGTCGCTGGAGTAGCTCCTTCCTGGGCCAGAAGAGCCTCATGGCAGATGGGGGAGGTGGCTTTGGGGCACACCCTGGGGCAATGCCATCTTCAGCCCTGCCAGCCCCTCTAGCCCTGCCTGGTATAGAACCCAGCAGTAGTAACAGCCCCATCTTCCATAGAACGGGCACAGGCCTACTGTGCGAATCTGGGATGTGGATGAGAAGAGTCAGGTGGCAGAGATGTTGGGCCACAAGTACGGCGTGGCCTGTGTGGCCTTCTCCCCAAATATGAAGCACATTGTGTCCATGGGCTACCAGCACGATATGGTACTCAACGTGTGGGACTGGAAGGTGAGCCAGCTGGTGGGTGTGCGGGCAGGCAGCCAGCCGCCAGAGCATCCGAGTCTCAGGCTTTGGAAGAACTAAATGAGATAACTTGGTAAAGTGCTCTTTCATTCAGCAAATATTTATTGAGCACCTGATCCCAGTTTTAGGCACTTATTGAAGGGCATATGAGAAGTTCTCAGCTAGTGGAATATATAATTATTTTTATATTAGCCAGCTGTAACCTTGACCAAGTGACTTACCATCTTTGTGGGTCTGTTTCCTTATCTGTGAAATGGATATTATAGTACACACCTGGTTGAATTGTGAGAATTCATTGAGTTGATAAGGAGCACTGGACTGTGGAATAGCTGAGGGAGGACTGGAGTTGGCAAAAGTGGGTACCAAGTCCTGGTTCTGTTCATAACCTGCTCTGTGACCCTGAACACATGATATCCCCCTCTGCGCATGGCAGAGTGGGAGGAGAAGCACCTCCCTTAGAGCTATGGAGGGGATTCGTGACTTATCCTGTGAGTGCTCAGCAGGGCCCAGAGCGAGAGCCCTATCGATGGCAGCCCTGGTTGGTATCCTTTCCTCGCAGCTTGGCTGTCCTCAGCACCTTGTGTGGGCTGTAGAGCTTGGACTCTCAGGGAGAGCTCTGGAACTTATTCTCACGTGGGAACCTTTCCAAGCCTCAGCAGCCTCTGTGGTGGGAATGAGTGCCAAGCAGGTTCTCCCGTAAAGTAGCTTCCTGGGGGTCCAAGGAAAAGAGACTCGGAGTAGGGGATAGTGAGGAGACACGGGGCTGAGGGCAAAGGCTGAGGGCAGTACAGTGGGGTGGGTGCTGGCATGAACTTTTCTGTACCGATTCTTCCAGAAAGATGTGGTGGTGGCCTCCAACAAGGTATCATGCAGGGTCATCGCCCTCTCTTTCTCCGAGGACAGCAGCTATTTTGTTACTGTTGGTAACCGGCATGTTAGGTTCTGGTTCTTGGAAGTGTCCACTGAGGCAAAGGTGAGTTTTTGTCCCTGCAACCTCAGCCAGGCCCGGGGAGTGACTTTCAGGGGCAGAATGGACTCGTTTCTACCTGAGATATGGAGGCAGTGGTCTCAGAGGCTGTCTAGCCTCTCAGGGGTCTGGCTTCTGCTTCTGGCCTGCTCTCCAGGTGCTGTCTGGCAGGCTCTGCTAGGAAATCTCCCTACCAAATTTGCTTCCTCCCCTGACTCTGGGGCCAGACCTTGTTCCCGAACTGCTGCCTTGCAACCACTCTGCCTGGAAGTGTGTTCTGGTTTTTCTTCCCTTCTCCACTTGAAGGAGTTTCTTAGGGTCCTCCTGTTTGTGTTGTTCCCCTGGTCATGAGAGAGCCATCATGACATTGTTGGGGGTCTAGGCTATGTGGACACTATCTCATTGTACCTTGTTATGCCTCCAGGTGACAGGGACAGTGCCCCTCATAGGGCGCTCAGGCATCTTGGGTGAGCTGCACAACAATGTCTTCTGTGGTGTGGCTTGTGGCCGGGGCCAGATGGCAGGCAATACCTTCTGTGTCTCCTACTCGGGCCTCCTCTGCCAGTTCAATGAGAAGAGGGTGCTGGAGAAGTGGATCAATCTGAAGGTACCCCACCTCTCTGCTGTCAATGGGGGAAACATTTCCCATGGCATGATCTCCTGGGACGCTCAGCAGTGTTTCTGCCTGGTGATTGATCACACCCACTCTGGGTTTGACTTCAAGTTCTGCTTGTGTGACTCTGGTAGATGACTTTCCCTACCTGAGCTTCAGTTTCCTCATCTGTAAAAATGGCAATACTGCTGCCTCCCTCACAGAGTTGATAAGGAGTCACATGAGATAATATAGGTAAGGCATTCAGCACTGTGCCCGGTCCCCTGTAATTCGGTCAAGTTACAATTGCTTTCCTCACTGTTTGATTCAGAAGCTTTTGACAGAGAGATGTGTAGCCCCTGTGCAGTTGCAGTTGTCATAAATGACTCATCAATTAAGTCTCTGTGGATTTGTAAAAACTCCTCTAGTCTGTGCCCAGAGCTCTGGCATTTCCTGCCCCTCTGCCTACATCTGGCGGACTAGACAGTCCTTCCTGTATACAGTAACTTTTTCCTATGCTGCTTTGTAGTCTAATCTCTATGAAGTTGTTTTTAAACAATAGGAAATAAACCGTAAGCCTAAAATTCAACTTTGTTACTGCAAGTGACCTCTCTGGAGTCATGGTCTGCTGAATAGATATTTCCCACCCACAGCTGAGTTCCTCTGTAGGTAGCAGTGACAACTCTGTCCCAGTCTGTACCTTTATCTACCTGCTGGCACATTTCCTTCAATAGTGCCCTTACACTACATCCTGATTTCAGAAAACCTTAACATTTACTAAGATGGGCTTCTTAGACCCAAGAAACTATAAGGCTTCTCTGGAGGCCCAAGTCTGTCCCGTCAGTGCCCATGTCCCTGAACCGGGCCACACAAAGCACAAAGCCTACTTGAGTCCCCTTTGCCCCCACAGGTCTCTCTGTCTTCCTGCCTCTGTGTCAGCGAGGAGCTCATCTTCTGCGGTTGCACAGATGGGATAGTTCGCATCTTCCAGGCCCACAACCTACACTACCTTGCCAACCTGCCCAAGCCGCACTACCTTGGGGTGGATGTGGCCCAGGGCCTGGAGCCCAGGTACTACCCAGCAGGGGGAGGGAGAGGGGCCCACCCAGAGTCTGTTGGTATGCATCCATGCTTCCAGATCCATCTACATGTGGGCCAGCCCTAGGTGGGAAGCAGGATACAGCTATAATGAGGCAGCAAAACTTCTGCCACTGTGAAGTCTTCAGTCTCGTGAGGGAGCTTGATGAGAAACAAGTACACAAATAAGATCATTTTAGATAGTCATTCATAAATGCTTTGGTGAAATAAAACAGGGACTCGGGAAAGAGACTGCCTGGGGGTTGGGGCTATATTTGAGTGGCCAGGGGAAGCTTCTCTAGTGAGAAAGAGCCAGCTGTGTGGAGAGCTGGGTCCTGACAGCAGGTGGAAAGGCTTTAAGGGGACAGCACACTGGGCTTAGTATATTGCAGGAACACCTAGGGGCTGTGTGGCTGGAGCCTAGTGTGCCCAGCGGAGGAGAATGGTAGGAGACAGGTCTGAGTATTGATGAAAGCTGGGAGGAGGAGCTTATAGTCTATTCTGAGATCCTTGGGCAGCCACTGGGGATTTCAGGCATTGGCATTATGTGGTTAGGCCTTGAGCATTAGATCTCTCTGGCTGTCATGTCAAGAGTAGGTGGAAGGGCTGAGCTGTGACATATTTTCCTTTTGTTGTAGTTATTTTGGGGGGGCAGGGAGCTACCTAACCAGGGATGCTGGGTACCTGGGGTGGCCTCTTTGTAGATATCTGGATACTACCTCCTGAGTGCCTTTTCTAATCGCCTGGAGGGGGCTTTTGGGTGTTTCAAAGTACAGAGAGGGTGGATCAGCAACCCACACACAGTGGTATGTTGTAACCAGGCCGCCCAGCTCTGCTAGCTTTTGCTTTGTGCTGTGTGGCCTCAGGCAGGTCACTGTATCAACCTGTGCTTCTGCAGTTTCTTTGTCTATAAAATATAGTACCTACCTATCGCAGAGGTTGTGGGGATTTGGTGTAGCTAAAGCTCTTGGCTCTGCTCAGTAAACTGTAGCGTTTGTAGGGATGCCCCAGGCCAGGGGACGACAACTCTGCTCCCTTGTACCGAGATTTTTGGTCATGTGTTGGTGGAGTCCATGAGTGAGAGGGCCTGAGGTATGTGCCCATTATCCTTCCATGAGAGAGGACAGAGCGTGGGTTGGGTGAAATGAGGGGAGAAAATTGTTAACAGTTGAAAATTCAAATATTCTCAGGGGCCAAGGGGAAGCGTTCACATTACAGCCTCTGTATTAGAAACAAAGCAAAGGAAGAGAGAGGAGGGAGAAGTAGAGTTGGAGTGGGAGAGATGGGCCACAGTGGCATTGACATGAGATAGCTCAAGTGTCACCACAGGCAGCTGTCACTACCCACAGTGACACTGAAGGTGATTGATGATCCGTGTTGCCTTGTTAGCTTCCTCTTCTGCAGGAAGACAGAAGCTGTCTATCCGGATACGGTGGCGCTGACCTTTGACCCCATCCACCAGTGGCTGTCCTGTGTGTATAAGGACCACAGTATCTATATCTGGGATGTCAAAGATATCAACAAAGTAGGCAAGATGTGGTCGGAGCTCTTCCACAGCTCCTACGTCTGGAATGTGGAGGTGAGCCCCTTTCTCCCTCCCCTGCCTTTGCTCAGCCCCCATTTGAAGAAAGCTGCAGAGTTTGGAGAGCCCATTCAGACGTTCCTTCCAAAGATACTCTGTTCCTTCAAATGGACTTCAGCTGTGTGCCAGGTGCTGTTCTATGTGCTGAGGACACAACTAGGAAGGAAACTGACAAAAGTCCTGCCCTCATGGAGCTCACATTTGGGTGGGAAAGTAAGCCCATAAGCATGAATATAAAACATGCCAAGTAGCACCTCTCAGAAGAAAAATGAGGCTGAGCAGGTGAAAGGGGATGAAGGGTGCTGGCTGTTCTAGAGAGGAGAGGTCAGGAACGGCATCAGCATTGCTGAGGATGTGGCTTTCAAGCAGAGACTGCCAGAAGTGAGGGGGTGAGAGGCACCTGACCACTGGGTTGTAGCAGGAGCCTGTGTGCCACAGAGAGCCTTCTGGAAGCCGTTTGTGTTTAGTGCTTTTTTAAGTGTTGAACTTTTTATTTTCTAAGAATGAATCTGGGGGATTTTTTCATTCTCTAAAGCTGTCCTAAGTACTCCTTGCAGATTAGACACCTGGTGGAGAAAAAATTGTATTCTACTTTTTTTCCCCCTGAAAATTTTGACTACTAGGGATATCTGTCCTAGAGAACTTGTGTTTTCAGTGGCCTAATTCAGAATTGGGGAACATAACTTAATCCTTCTGGATAAGTGTTATTTAGCCTTTTGACTGCTTGAATTCATCTGCCTTCTTGGATCTGACGCTTCTGTTAGTAGCACTTTTCTCACTTTACAAGAATGCTTTTAAGTAACTTTAAAATTTTATATATAAATATATTCTCTTTGAAAAAAAGGTGAAGTATTACAGATAAAGCTAAAGTCTCTTGGATCACCTCCCTATCACCAGTCCTGCTCTCTCTTATCCTCACCCTTGTTACCAGTTTTTTATGTGGTTTTTTTGTTAATTTTGTTGCATCTACCTGTTATTTATTTATACTTATATATAAACATAATTTTTATTTTATTTATTGGTTGACTACATAATTCTATATGTAATTATGTTATATAATATACACCTTATTTTTCTATATTATGTGTGTGTGTGTGTATCTCCTGAACAAAAATATCTGTGGATAGATTTTTTTTTTAGGCTCTTTTTATCAATTCTAGAAAATTCTCAGCCAGTACAGATTTAAGAATTGCCTCTACTCCATTCTCTCTTCTTCTTCTGTAACTTTTATGTCCTATTTCTCTCTGTCCTTTATTTTTATTTTTTAAAATTTTATTATTTTTATACTCATTACCTTTTTATTTTATTTTTTATAATTAAGGACTTCTTTTTTAAAAAATATATCTTTATTGATTTCAGAGAGAGGAAGGGAGAGGGAGAGAGATAGAAACATCAGTGATGAGCCAGTTATTGATCGGCTGCCTCCTGCACACTCTCTGCTGAGGATCAAGCCCACAACCCGGGCATGTGTCCTGACCAGGAATGAAACCTCGATGTCCTGGATCCTAGGTCAATGCTCAACCGTTGAGCCACGCCCGACTGGGCTACCTTTTTATTTATTTATTTTATTTATTTATTTTATTTTACATTTTTTAATACTCACCCAAGAATATTTTTCCCATTGCTTGTCAGACAGAGTGAAAGAGGGGGAGAGAGAGAGAGAAACATCAACATGGGAGAGACACATGGACTGGTTGCCTCCAGCACTTGCCCGGACCAGGGCCAGGAATGGAGCCTGCAACCGAGGTACATGCCCTTGGCTGGAATCAAATCTGGGACCCTTCAGTCCATGGGCCAATGCTCTGACCACTGAGTCAAAGTGGCCATGACTGTACTCATTACCTTTTTAAAGAATTTTTTAAAATGTATTGATTTTAGAGAGAGAAGGAGAGAGAGAGAGAGACATCGATTTGTTGTTCCACTTACTTATGCATTCATTGCTTGATTCTTGTATGTGCCCTGACTGGTGATCGAACCCACAACCTTGATGTATTGGAACAATTTTCTAACCAACTGAGCCCCTGGCCCGGGCTAGATAATTTTTTTAATGTCTTTTAGCTTTTTTGAAATAGTTATAATTTTGATCTGTTTTATGGAAATGTGTTTCTGGTGTGCTCTTTTTTATCTTATTTTAAAGAGTAACTTTGTTAGTGACTTTGTTTTGGTCCTTGTTCTGTTGTTCACTTTCATATGATAATAGGTTTTCTGAATTTTTTGAAATTGGTGTGGTTTAGGACAGGTTTTCTAACTTCCCAAAAAAGAACTTTATCTTCTGATTTTTATTTTTATTTTTTTATTTTAGAAAGAGAAAGAGGGAGAGAGAGAAAGAAAGATCTATTTGTTGTTCCACTTATTTATGCATTATTTGATTGATTCTTGTATGTGCCCACAACCTTGATGTATCAGGACAGTGCTCTAAACAACCAAACTACCCAGCCAGCGCTAACCTTTGGTTAAAAATATGTTCTATTTTTTCACTTCTTTTTATTTATTTATTTATTGTCTATTTTATTTGTTAGTTTATTTTGTTTATTAGATTCCACATATAAGTGAAATCATATGGTAGTTGTTTTTCTCTGACCGGCTCATTTCACTTAGCATAATACTCTCCCTGTCTGTTCCTGCTGTCGCAAAAGGTAAGATTTCCTTCTTTTTTTTTTTTTATCCTCACCTGAAGATATGTTTACTGATTTCAGAGAGAGAGGAAGGGAGAGAGAAAGATAAACATCGATGTGAGAGAGAAACATCGATCAGTTGCCTCTCATAAGCACCCCAACCAGGGATCAAACCTGCAACCTAAGTATGTACCCTGATGGGGAATCGAACCTGCAGCCTTTCGGTGTACGGGACAACATTCCAACCAACGGAGCCACGTGGCCAGGGCAAGATTTTCTTCTTTTTTATGGCTAAGTAGTATTCCATGGTATAAATGTCCTATGGCTTTTTTATGCACTCATCTACTGATGGACACTTGGGCTGCTTCCATATCTTGGCTATTGTAAATAATGTTGCAGTGAACATAGGGCTGCATATATTCTGAATCAGTGTTTCAAGTTTCTCTAGATATATTCCCAGAAGTGGAATCACTGGGTCATAAAGCAGTTCCATTTTTAATTAAAAAAAAAAACATATCATTATCCATTTTTAATTTTTTTAGTAACTCCATATTGGTTTCCACAGTGGCTACACCAATGTGCATTCCCATGAACAGTGCACGAGGGTTCCCTTTTTTCCACGTCCTCGCCAACACTTGTTTATTAATTTACTGATGGTAGCCATTCTGACAAGTATAAGCTGATTTCTCATTGTGGTTTTAATTTTTATTTCTCAGCTGATTAGTGACATTGAGCATCTTTTCATATGCCTCTTGGCCATCTGTATGTCTTTGGAGAAGTGTCTATTCAGGTCTTTTGCCCATTTTTAATTGGATTATTTGTTTGTTCTGGTGTTGAGTAGTATGAGTTCTTTATAAATTTTGGATTTTAACCCCTTATCAGGTGTATCATTGGCAAATATGCCCTCCCATTCATTGGGTTGTCTTTTCATTTTGTTGATGATTTTCTTCACTGTGCAAAACTTTTCAGTTTGTTGTAGTTCCGTTTGTTTATTTTTTCTTTTGTTTCCCTTGCCTTTTTTCCACTTCTATAACCAGTTCTATTTTGTTCTTTTCCAGCCCTGCTTGGTTATTCTTTATACCAAGCTACTCATACTTTTAATCTTGTCAGTGTTCTTCTATTTCTTTAAACATATTAAGCATAGTTATTTTTTATTCTCTGATAATTCCAGTATTTGAAGCTAGACTCTGTTGTTTCTGCTGCTGCTTGCTCGTGGTACCTTGTTTCCTTTTTGTTTAGTGAGCTACCCATTTTCCTTGGAAATTTATTCATGGGGATGTTTTACGGCCTGGGCTGAAGATGGGGCCACGGATGATAAATGGTAGCATGTTATGTGTCTTTAAGCATTAAACTATGCTTGTTTATTTTCAGCTTACTTTTTTCCCACCAACAAGCAACAGTATATCAGTGCTGTCATTGAAATTGTTGTGATGAATTGCCCTTTGCCTTGTTCTCTGGGAACTGTAGGTGTATCCTGAGTGTGAAGATCAGAGAGCTTGTCTGCCGACAGGATCTTTTCTGACTTGTTCCTCAGACAACACCATTCGCTTCTGGAACATAAATAGCAGCCCTGACTCTCCCTGGCAGAAAAACATCTTCAGTAATGTGAGTGACTTCATTGTCATTGTCAGCCATCTTTTAGGAAGAACAAAGACCTACTTTAAGCTAGGACACTGAGGCAGGAGGAAAGCTCACAGAATCTTGCTGTTAGGCTGCACTACGGGCAGGAACCAGGAGCCAAGGCAGGTCACTCTGTTTTTCCCTCTCTCTTGTTTCTCTCTCCCTCCCTCTCTTTCTTTCTGAGTAGCATAGTTCTGCCTGTCAGCAGCTGCTGTCCAGGTGTGTCTATACAGCCACTCCAGGCAACCTGACATACTCAACAGAAGAGAAATTGCTCCCTGAATCTTTAGTTGGAGCTCGTTAGGAGGGTTCTTTGATCCATCAACCAAATCAGGCAGGAGCTTCCCCTGTTAACTAGCCACCATGCAGTAAGGCCATGGGTAGGGGTGCTGGCAGGATCCCAGAGAGAGTCATGATGTGAGGTCGGGGAGAAAACACTTTGCTGGAGAAATGGTTGGTATTGCTAGGTCAGTAAGGGAGCTTCTCTGAGGAGCTGAGACCTGAATCATGCATTCATTTATTCTACAGATACTTTTTAAGGTCTGTGCTATGCTACATGCTGGAACATCAGTGACTAAGACAGACCCTTCTCCTGTACTCATGGCACCCACAGTCTAGTGAGGGGAGGCAGAGAGTGAACTAATAACTGCACAAATTATGATATAATCATAAGCATGGTAAGCACCATGAAAGAAAATTGCATAGTGCTAGTAGGATATATAACAGAGTCATCTGATATTATTTGTGGCACCAGGGGCACCTGGAGGAAGAAACAACTAAGCTGAGATATGGAGTACTGGGAGGAGTGAAGAGGGGAAGGGAAAGTGTCCCATGCCAAAGGAACAGCTTGTACAAAGGCCCTGTGGTGGGAAAGAGCTTGATGAGTTGGAAAACCTGAGAAGTTAGTGGGGCTGGAACAAAAAGGGCCCTTCTTACAGAGAGGGTATAATAGGTATTTCTTTACTACCATCTTCTCTTCTGCACCTGTGGCTGTATACGATAGAAAACCCCGAAACAAGAGGTAAAATTTTGGTTTCCTCACTCATGAAAATAGTCTAGAGGTAACCAGTTCAAACTGCAATGGCAGCTGCGGGAAACCCTCCGAGGCCCCAGAACCTTCCAGCTCTCCCCTCTGCTGTTTTGAAGAAGGGGCTACCGTCATCATCCAAAACGGCTGCTGGCTTTCCAGGTGTTACTTTAGTGAGCTTCAGGCAGCAAGAAGGAAGCAGAAGGGCTCTCACTTGCTTTACATCTCATTGACCAGAATTTATTCACAGAGCCCCATCTAGCTGCAAGGGAGGCTGGGAAACAGTTATTACTCAGAGTAGTGAACCTCCCAGGTCAAAATTGGAGTTCAGTTACTAATAAAGAATAGGAAACTTGCTCTTGGGTCACAAAATTTTAGGGGTGTTTCAGACCTGCTCATTGGACTGACTTCAACCCTCTCCTTCCTGCAGACCCTACTGAAGGTAGTATATGTAGAGAATGACATCCAGCACCTGCAGGATATGTCACACTTCCCAGACCGGGGGAGTGAGAATGGCATGCCTATGGATGTGAAAGCCGGGGTACGAGTGATGCAGGTCAGTCCTGATGGCCAGCACTTGGCTTCAGGCGACCGAAGTGGAAATCTGAGGCAAGTGGGCCCTGGTGGGTGTCCAGTGTACACCTCCCAGCTTGGGCTCGGGTACTCAGGGTGGTGGGGAGGAAGCCTGGCCTTTGTACCTCCAGCTACTCTTTGGGAATGAGGGGCTGTGAGAAGTAGTCCTGTTACCAGCCACCCCGAGGAACTTAAGCAAAGAAGTGTCTTCCAAAAGGGCTGAGATGAAGGTAGCTACTGGGAACTTGGCAGCTGGGGCGTGCAAACTTTTCCTACAGAGTGGACAAGTAAATTTGTATGACTCTAGAATAGGGTAACACTTTTAACAGCTGTGTGGTACCGCTGCTGAGCCATTAGAGAAGATGCCAGCTGGAGCTTGCGGGGTCCTGGTAGCCCAGGGAGAGGGGCCAGGAGGATGGGACATATGAGGGCTCAGTTCCCACTGCAGAGGTTTTTCAAAATGGTACTGGTGCAATCGGTGCTGACAGCATATGAGCCCTGTCATAGGGACCGGGTTTAAGTTGATGAGTGACAGCTGTGACCACATGGGTACTAGGGCTGTTGAGGGATGGAAGGGACCCTGCAAACTGAAGCCAGGTCCTCCAAGCTGGTATGTGTTCTCATTGTCCAAGAAGAACAGAATGCAGGATTTTTTTTCTGCGAAAAGCCTATGATTTTTTAAAATACTGGCAACTTTTTTTTTTTAATATGTTTTTATTGATTTCAGAGAGAGGAAAGGAGAGGGAGAGAGAGACAGAAACATCAGTGATGAGATAGAGTCATCAATCAGCTGTCTCCTGCATGCCCCCTGACCAGGAATTGAACGACCTCCTGGGTCAGTGCTCAACCACTGAGCCATGCCAGCCTGGCTGCTGGCAACTGTTTTGATATCAATCACTGCAGAAGGCAAATTGAATGTATCAGTGGGCTGCTCACATTGACAGCACTCTGCTGTAAATGGCAAAAATGGTAACAAGAGCTAGATGGGCATAGCACTCTTCCCCTGGCTGGCCACTGGCCTGATACTGTGTGTATCAACCGATTTAGTATTCTCACCGACCCTCAATGTAAGTGCTGTTATCAGCTCCATTTTCACATGGGTTGACTGAGTTAAGAGAGGCCAAGTGGCTAGGCTAGGATTACACAGTTAGAGAGTAGAGAAACTGGGATGATTGTCTCTTATTTCAACCCTGGATGACCTCTTGATTGTTTGATTTCATTTGGAGAGAATAAGTCTAGATTTGAGGCTCTTTAAAAATGACAGGTTGAAATCAAATGTTCCCACCCATAGGTCCTATCCTTGAATGTGACTTTTGACCCTTGCCCCTTACCCCACCCCCCCAGGGATCACTCTGGTACAGGTCTGCTCTAACCCTTGTTTTCCCCAGAGGACTGCGCTAGATCTGGCCCATGGAACCACAAGGGCTGGGTGCTCACTGTGGTACTCCGAGGTTTGGCACTGCTTCCTTTAAGATGGCAGGTTTCTAGATGATAACAGTGGTTGGGTATCTCTAAACTAGTTCCCCATGTCACCTGCCTGGCAGTGGCAGAGTGCCTGGGGTGGGAGCAGTGGTGGGAGAGCCCTCCAAGAAGTGTTCAGCAGGCAGTATATGTCTCCCAGGATCCATGAGCTGCACTTCATGGATGAGCTGGTCAAGATGGAGGCCCATGATGCTGAGGTGCTATGCCTGGAGTACTCCAAGCCTGAGACTGGTGAGCCCATGGCAGGGTGGCAGGGGGAAGGCAGGGGAGTGGCCTCCCTGGCAGAGCCACAGAGAGTAGTAGTTGGTATCTGATAGGGCTGTGAATGACAGCTGGGAGTCCTGTGTTTAGTAAGGGCCCCTGTCCCTGCGCCCTGGGACCAACGTGACTCGGACTCCAGAAAGCAAGACGCTGGCAGGCAGGACTGGACTGGACTTGCTTACTGTGGTGCCCAGCGCCCTGAACAGTACTCAGGCTAAAGAGGTGAATGTCGAATGAGTGAATGTATGAATGAGATCATCCTCTGCTGATGAAGATAGATTGACAGTTAAACGTGTTATTTTGAAAAAGCTTAATGCCTACAGAAAAATTACAAGACTATTACAGTGAATACCCATGTGCTGTTTACCTGGATTCCCCAAGTTTCTTCTTTTAAAGTGTGACCCTGTGACTGTATAATGACTTTGTCTGTTTCCCCTTTTTCCATTTCTCCCTCTGTGTTTGTAAATACACACGTATAACAAAATAATAGCATATACATTCTTGTTTTTCTTTTTGCTAAACTATTTGAGAGTAAATTGCAGGCATGATGCCCGTTCACCCTTAAATGCTTCTGTGAGCATTTCCTAGGAATGAGGACATCCTTTACCACAGGGCTCATCAAATGTGGGAATTTCACTTTGATGTTATATTGTCATCTGTCTTATGGCCCTCGCTCACATTTTGCCAAGTGTCCCAATATTGTCCTCTGAGCGTCTTTGTTTTTCCAGTCCAGGTTCACACTTTAGTTGTCGTGGCTCTTTTGTCACTTTTTTTCTGGAACATTTCTACAAACTTAATTTGTCTTTCTGACTTTGGCTTTCTGCAGAGTGTAGACCAGTCATTTTATAGAGTTTCCTTCAATTTGGGTTTGTCTGTTTGTTTTCCTCATAATTTGATTCCAACTATACATTTCTTGGTAGGAACGTAACATAGGCGGAGTATGTCCTCACATGTTAATGATCTTTCCCATGCTCTTCTTTCCTTCTTCCTTCTTCTGTACCCTCTGTCCTATTCAACTTTCTTTAAATCTCTCTTTATTCAGTTTCCTGAGCTCCCTTCCACCTCAGGTCGTACGTTAAGCCTCATACAGACCAGGTGATCGGCGTAGGCACTGTCTGAGGGGCCAGCAGGGAAGGCCTAGTGGTGGAAGGAAGTGTGGCAATGGGCAGGTGATCATTAGGCCTGGACAAGGCCCATGTATTCAGAGCTCAGAGTGAAGGGGCCGTGTTCTTGGGAGCTGAGAAGTTGGTAGGGCTTCACATGGCACACCAAGGAGCTAGACTTGGTAGGAAGGAGTGCTGGGCTCTACTAGAATGTCTGCTGTGGGCACAAGTGAAGGAGTGCCCAAGTGTCCCTGAAGATGAACCCTCCCTGAGCTGGTGTTATGGCATGAGAAATGCCAGGGTTTGGGGGCGCTGGAGAAAGACTGCAAGAGCTGAGGGAGTTTCCCCTTCGGGGTTTGGAGCAAGTTAGCAGCACTTATGGGACTGAAGACCCCTTCAAGGCCTGCAAAGCTCGGCCCTGCTGCTCTCTAGGAGGCCAAGGCATCAAGTAGCCTCCCAGGAACCCAGGGCCACCCTCTCCACTTGCAGGGCTGACCCTGCTTGCCTCGGCCAGTCGGGACCGACTGATCCATGTGCTGAACGTAGAGAAGAACTACAATCTGGAGCAGACCCTGGATGACCACTCCTCTGCCATCACGGCCATCAAGTTCGCAGGTGAGCCCCTTCCTTCCCACTTAGAGCACCTCGTTAGGTGGGTTCCTTCAGCCACGAGTATCACCAAAAACTCACTTCAGCTTAAACAAAGAAGGGAGAAGTAAGCTCTGGATTCAGGCACAGCTGGATCCAAAAGTTGAATTTTTGAAACTAAATTATTAGGACTCTCTCCTTCTGTTAGTTGTGCCTTTCTATGGAGGGCAGGATCTTGGTTGTCACTGGGCCACTGGAAAGAGATTTCCCCTCTTCCTATCCATTTTGGCAGAAATTAGGAGCTGGCTTTCCTTTTGCTGGTTTGAGGCACCTGTTCTTTCCTGAACAGTTATTTGTGCCAGGGCTTTGGGGGTTCTCTTCAGCTATGTTGGACTCATATACCCAGCCGCCACCTACCTCCACTCCTGATCCCAGAGGACTGGCATTAGATGAGTGCAGATCCCCAAAAAGAAATCAGGGTGCTAATCCTGTTAGGGCAGGATGGGCACTGGTAACATGACAGAAAAATAGGTAAAGTGACAATTACTGGAGGCTAATTCTTTGCTGGGGATTATCCTTGTGCCATCCCAGCAGTATCCCCTTCCTTACAGCCAGTCACACAGCTAGTAGGTGCAGACCTAGGATCTTGCCTAAGGCGTCCTCCATGACTGAAAAGATTCAGTATGGAAATCCCTGACCCTAAAGGGTTCCAAGGGGAGGGGAGGTAGGCCCTGTGGGGAGTAACTGATCAGAACCAAGAACATGTTCAAAGCTATATTTAAGAAGTATATATTCATGTAGTCTAAGTTCTTGGCTATGAAGTATTTTTTACATATAATTTTGTGACTGAGAATGTACTAATGTCCCTTGGCCCTCTCCACTTCTGGCCCTGCCCCTCTCTAGCTAAGATGATAGGGAGCTGGGCAAAAACAAGTTAACAATGTTTGATGTGTCTTGATGAAGACCTTACAAAAGTTGATCAGCTAAAACTTCTCAGACATCCTTAAAAACCTGTTCTTTCCACTGGCTAGAGGTAGTTAGAATAAGCCCTGGCTGGTGTGGCTCAGTTGGTTGGGCGTCAGCCTGTGCACCAAAAGGTTGTGGTTCCATTCCCCGTCAGGGTACGTAATCAGGTTTCAGGCTCCATCCCCAGTAAGGGGCATGCAGGAGGCAGCCAGTCGATGTTCTGCTATGACATCAATGTTTTTCTCTCTCTCCCTCTCTCTAAAAATCAATAAAAAGCCCTGGTTGGTTTGGCTCCGTGGTTAGGGCGTCAGGCCCTCGGACTGAAGGGTCTCTGTTCGATCCTGTCAAGGGCGTGTACCTCGGTTGCAGGCTCCATCCCCGGCCCTGGTTGGGGGGCCTGTGGGAGGCAACCAATCAATGTGTCTCTTTCACACATCGATTGGTTACCTCCCAATTGTGTTTCTCCCTCCTTCCCTCCCTCCCTCCCTGAAAAGCAATTGAAAAAATATTTTTAGGTGAGGATTAAAAAAATAATAATAAATAAAAATAAAATAAAAATCTTAAAATATTTAGAATAAATTGGCAAACCTAGCAGTTTGGCCCCAGTGACCTCATCTCTCTCTTTTTTTTTAATTGATTTGAGAAAGAGAAAGAACCATTGCTCTTGAATGAATGCACTTATTTGTGCATTCATTGGTTGATTCTTGTATGTGCAACCGGCAACCTTGGCGTATTGGGATGACTCTCTAACCAGCTGAGCCACCCTGCCCGGGCACTGACCTCACCTTTAGTGAATGGTCTAGATCCAAGAGAGGTGATGACTGGCCTGGGGGGCCCAGGAGTTGGTCCTTTGGGCCACCTTCTGAAAGGTGCCGGCCTTCTGTAGAGCCCCAGCCAGTCTGAGAGGATGCAGCTCCTAAACCCCGCTCCCGAGTGCCCTGCTCTGCAGGGCTGGCTCACTTGGTTATGCTCAGAACATTGATAGTCAGTATAAACTGGCCACCAGTCACTCTGAACCTGTCTGAAGCTACCCTGCTGGGGAAGGACTCAGTCTTCTCTTTTCTGTGAAGTATGTCCAAACAAGTGAGGACAGTACATATGGTTTACTGGATACAGTCATGCGCTACATGGTGACAGTCCAGTCAATGACAGGCCTCCTATATGAAGGTGGTCCCATAACATTATAGTGGAGCTAAAAAATTCCTATCGCCTAGTGACATCGCAGCCATCGTAATGTCACAGTATAACACAGGTCATAGCACTCATTACGTGGTTATGCTGATGTAAACAAATCTGAGCTGCCAGTCATATAAAAGTATAGCATATACGATCATGTACAGTACGTAATACTCTATAATGATAACAAACACCTGTTACTGGTTTATGTATTTAATTTACTTTTTATTTTAGCATGTGCTCTTTCTACTTATAAAACAAAGTTTGCTATAAAACAGTGTGCTGTGTTCCATAGGCAGCAGCCTCCAACATCTCGTGTTTGTGTCCCTTGACTGCATCATTTTCTCTTGTTCTTGATTTAATCTCATGTTGTTTTGTGCAGTAACAAGCTGCACAGGCTTGTAGTCTAGGAGCAATGGGCTATCTCATACAGCCTAGGTGTGTAGTAGGCTATCCCATCTTGGGGTGGTAAGTGTACCCTGTGATGTTATCACAATGGCAAAATCACGTGACAACACATTTCTCAAAATATGTCCCCATCGTTAAGTGGTGCATGACTAATACAATGAACATCCACATCGAAGTTCATAGTCGGTGGGTATGAACTAGAACACACCCCCATTGTTCATAGCCAGAGACTGTTCTGATCGTTTGCGGTCCTAACATTGCTAGGTGCTTGGATCTACCACCCCAGGTTAAGAAGCAGAACATTACCTGTAACTTGCAGGCTTCTCTGGGCCCCTCCATGTCACACTCCCTCCCCCATACAGGGCTCACTCCCTTCTGTGAGACAATGACTCCTGCTTGAGTAGCATCTTAACTTGTATGTCAGTCCTGGGCTCTCTCAAATGTCTCATCACAAAGGACCAGCATCTGTTGAACCAAGCCTCTAAGTATGTTGTCTTTTCATTCTCACCACAACTCAGGGAGGCGTTTGTGCTAAATTATTATTTTTCTATAAAGAAGGAATAATAAGGAAAGAGCTTGCCAGGTGGTAGCCACTGTTCCAAGGGTTTCACACAGTTTCTTGGGGCAGGGACTATTACAAGCCCATTATACAGGTAGGAAGCTAAGGTTCAGAGAGGAAGCAGGGTTCAGAGCAGTGTTCAACCAGAGAATGCCTGGCTTCAGTCCTGGCCCTGTCCTGACTTTCTGTACACCCTGGGACAGGGACTGTGTGACTCAGTACCTGGCTCACATTTGTGCAATGAGGGGCTAGTGAGCAGTCAGGAAGAAGGAAGCACAGGTGGCACAGGGCCTGGCCTGGGGTATGTAGGGGTGTTCTGATTGTTCTTAATGGCATGAGCCTCCCAGTGGCCTACCTGTCTTAGATGTGCCCCTCCTGTGTTCTTGGCCTTTGTTTTCCTGTCTGCCCTTGCAACTTGCTCCATGTACCCCCTCACTCACCCAACTCACATCTTACAGACTCCTACCTGCACCCGGCATCCGCCTCACCTCTGAGAAGCCCTCCCTGATCCCAGCAGAATTCCCTTGCAGTGGAGTTCCCTAGCAGGGACCCTGGCCCCAGCCAGGCCCAGCGGTGACCCAGCCCTGCCTAATACACCGCCTCCTCCTCTTCCAGGCAACAGAGACATCCAGATGATCAGCTGTGGGGCTGACAAGAGCATCTACTTCCGAAGTGCCCAGCAGGTAGAGTGGGGTGGCCTCCTTGGGGGCTGGGGTGTGGGGGCTTGTCAGAGTTGTCCTTTGAAGGCCATTCCTGTCCTGCCAGGGCTCGGATGGGCTCCACTTTGTCCGTACCCACCATGTGGCAGAGAAGACTACCTTGTATGACATGGATATTGACATCACCCAGAAGTACGTGGCTGTGGCCTGCCAGGACCGCAATGTGAGGTAAGGAGCTGCCCTGGGCCCTTAGTCAGCGTGGCCTGGGCTGCGTTATGAGTGGGGCCTGTATGGGACCTAGTTGAGTCTGTTTTCTCCTGAGCTAGTTGCTCTCCTTCCTCTGCTCATTTAGTCCCTGAGAAGCTGAGTGGATGGAGGGACCCAGCAGATGTTTCTTAGGAGCTGGGTTCACCTGGGCATAGTTTCCAGGTCACAGAGGGTTCCTTCGGGCTCTTCAGAAGCCTGTGTGGGGTGACTACGAGGTGCCCATGTTGCTCATAAACTTATTTCACCTACATTCCCTGAACACCTGCCTGGGATGGACAGTGCAGGAGTAGCAGCAGTGAGCAGGGCAGCCCCAGGCCCTATCTTCACAGAGCTCAGTCCAGTAAAGGAGAGACGTACCCTTCACCAGCCTGGAGTGGTCAGGGCTGGGATGGGGGAAGCCAGAGGGTTGGGTCCTGGGGAGATACCTGACCCCACCTGGGAATCAAGCAGGGCTTGATGGAAGGAATGTCTGAGCTGGGGCTGCAGGACACAGGACTGAGCCAGGGGAGGGGAGAGGGCATGTGCAGAGGGCACAGCATGTACAAAGTGGTTCACCTCCTCCATCTGCTCATTCAAATTGGGTGCCAGGCACTTAGCTTGCTGTATAGCAGGGGAGACAGGCATTAACTCAACAGACACCCTAATAAATAATTTCTATGACCTCAGCCTGAGATGTCATTCTCTGAGGTGGGGTTTCAGTCCAGGCATCAAATGAGGCATAAGAGGTGACTGGTCTTCCAGTGGGGAGGAGGGGGCGGGTGGGCAGGTCTATGTTTGCCATGTTCTGCAACCACCTCCACAGAGTCTACAACACCATGAATGGAAAGCAGAAGAAATGCTACAAGGGCTCCCAGGGTGATGAAGGGTCCCTGCTGAAGGTGAGGAGCCAGGGCCCCTGGGGTGAAAACTATACACAGTCTTCACAAACAAGGCTCCCTTTTGTGTCTGCTGTCCTGTGTCCTCCTTGGCACCTGATCAAAGGATCACATGCTGGCCAGCCACCCTTTCTGGCCTGGCTGCCCGAGGATGCTTGGCACCAGGGGTGGCCCAGACTGCTTCCCCTTTATGTAGAGGGGAGCCATTTTAAGTGGTTTCTGATTTGAGTGGCAACATAGTGTGGTGGGAAGAATCAGAGAGGCCTGGGCTCCCTTGCCACACTTATCCCCTGCCTGTGAGGGACTAGGTAAGAGTTCAGGCTGACTGTGACCTTGGGCAAGTGTTCTCTCTAGTCTATCTCATCAGCTGTAAAGTCCAGATACAAAGAGCTTCTGTCATAGGGCTGTTCTGTGAAAGAAATAAGTTAAACAGGCACATTGCTTAGCACAGGGCCTGGCTGCCATCAGTACCATTGTTGTGGTTAATGTTTCTACCTATGAAATGGGAGCAGGAATTCCTATTGTAGCAGGGTGTGTGTGGTGAGGGCTATCTGGGACAAGTGCATGTACCAAGTGTCCAGCACGAGGGTGGTCCTCAATCAGTGGGGGCGGTGGGGGAGGAAGCAGGTAGCACAAAGCATCACTTGCATCTTCTCGGCAGGTCCACGTGGACCCCTCAGGCACCTTCCTGGCCACAAGCTGCTCTGACAAAAGCATCTCAGTGATTGACTTTTACTCAGGCGAGTGCATTGCCAAGATGTTTGGCCATTCAGGTAGGTGTGCCCCCTGCTTGAGACGTCTCCCCACCCACCTCCACATTGCCTTCTGACTCAGAAGGTCACACAGCTTCTCTGCCCTGCTTCTAGAAATTGTCACTGGCATGAAGTTCACTTATGACTGTCGTCACTTGATCACAGTATCCGGAGACAGGTGGGAAAGGCCTAGAGGCTGTCCCTGGCTTGCCTCCCGTTGGAACTGGGTGGGACCTACGCTGTGGGGAGAGCAGGGGCTCAGAGACGGGAACCCCAGGCTCACAACCTGCCTGTGCAGAGTTCCTCTAAGTGTTCCAGCTTTCTCTCTCTTTGGACAGCATGCACGTTGGTGTCGCACCCAGTCCTGAGTTCAAATTCCAAATCTGCCCCTTGTATACTTGTGACCTTGAGCAGGTCATTTTCCCTCTCTGACCCTCAGTTTGCTCCTTTGTAAGAGTTGATGCCATCTACCTTGAAAATTGTGTTGTGAGAATCAAATGAGATGTATGTCATTCTGATTTTCCTTATATAAATTATATATATTAATTTATAATCAACATAATAAAATAAATTTTTTAGCACATGGTTGGTACCCAAGGAAGTCCCTTTGGTCATTCCCTTCAATTTACTTCCTCACAGCCCTCTTCCTTGGTCCGGAGGCCTTCAGAACAGGCCCTGGTTAGGTGGGTGTCCTAGAGCCCACCCAGGGTGTGGACCTGACACGGTCTGGAGCCCCTGCAGTAGACTAATGGGCTGTGTTTTCTGGGAGGTACCAAGAATGCGGTCTTGGCTATGATGACTCAGGTGACTTCAGAGTCAGATGACTTCCACAGTCACTGTTGCTCCTCCTTCCACATCTCTGGTCTCTACAGCTGTGTGTTCATCTGGCACCTGGGCCCAGAGATCACCAACTGCATGAAGCAGCACTTGATGGAAATTGACCGTGGGGAGCAGCAGCAGCAGCAGAACACAAAGGACGGGAAGTGGAGCAGCCACCCCAGGTCCTAGCAGCCACCTGTACATCCCCCATCTGTCCTCCCCCGGAGGAATATGTTCCTGCCCTACGCCCCAGGACGTGTGATGCTGGGACCGTACCCATAGCCAAGACAGCCCTGGGCCCTGCCTTTTGTGCACTTGCAGCCTAGGGTGGGAGATGGACTTTGAATACAAAGTTATGTTAACACATACAAGAAGGGTTTTGGACTGGAAAAGCAAAGTACTTGGAGAGCCTGTGAGCACTGTAATGCAGGAACACCCAGGAGGCTCTGGGAGTAGGGAGGGAGGTGATAGGAGAAGAGTCCCATGGCATTGAGATGTCTTCTTACACTTTAAAGTTTTTATGCTGTAAGACCACTTTTATTTGGAGTGGATTCATGCTCTAGTTTTTTATTAGGGATTTTGGTTTGGAGATCTCAGTTTTATTGGGAGATTATAGGATTTTTTTTCTCTCTCTCCTGCCCCTGGAGCTGTCCCCTTCTCTCTGTCTTGGGGCTTTGTCATTGCCTCCCTGTGGGACCAGGCCTTGACATGCACTGCCTGTCCTGCAATGGTTTTGGAGTACTGTAGATATAGGCACCAAAGGAGAGAGCAGCTACCCTTGGCTCCTGGTTTTGAGTCTCTCACCCTACCCTGGGGCTGGAGCAGGGTCCTGGCTCCAGTGCCCACCTTATGTCAAGCATGTTTTAGTCTCCTGTATCCAAAGGAGCTAAAATCTCATAGCTACCCCCTGCTTCCCAAAACAGAACCCAGCAGCTCAATACTCAAACCCCACTATCTGCTTTGCTTTTCAAAGGTCCCATTGCTGTGGCCCTTGGAGAGTTCGCTTATTTTTTAAACCTAGACTTTCTATGTCTCATTTATTATGGTGCTTTACATTTCTAGCAGAGTGGGTGTGGCAAGTGAGACCTCCCAGCACCATCTTGACCAGAAGTCAGTAATATGTCCATGTGGAACCCAGCATAGGGCCTGGCCCTAGGCAGGTCCCTCTAGCACCCCATTTACCTATTCCTCTCCTTGACTTCCTTATTCCTGGTTTCAGGCAGGAGACATATGTATCCATGCCCAGCGAGACTTGCTCCCTAAGCCCTGGAGAGCAGACAGAGGATGAGCTGGAGGAAGAGTGTGAACCTGAAGAATTGCTGAAGACACCATCCAGAGAGAGCTTGGATCCAGGTTGGGAAAGGGGCCCATCCAAAGGAGCCCTTTTTTGACCTTTGTCAGTATAGGGGTCATTGCTGGGTTTCACCCACTACTTTGTTTTCATGCCTGCCACATATTGAAGCTCAATAATCATATTTTGGTCAGGACTCTCTAAGTATAATAACAACCAGAGTCATTGGCTTAAGCTCGAAAGAGAATTTATTGGCTCATGTACCTGACAATTTGAGAGGATTGACTTCAGGCATAGCTGGATCTAGACAGCCAGGTGATGTTAAAGGAATGTATTTTTCTCTCTCTTGGATCTGCTTTTCCCCATATTGGCTTTGCTGTGAGGCAGGCTTTTCTTTTCCTTGAGGGGTGTAAAGATGTCCCAGAAAAAAACAAGNTTCTCTCTCTTGGATCTGCTTTTCCCCATATTGGCTTTGCTGTGAGGCAGACTTTTCTTTTCCTTGAGGGGTGTAAAGATGTCCCAGAAAAAAACAAGAGCATGCTAACCAGAAGACAGAACAAATTTTGTAATTCAGGCAAAAGGGAGAGTAGTAGCTTAATGACTTTATAAACAGCCAGGCCCTCTGTTAATTTCTGGCCTCTGCATATCTCCTTGGCATAGGCCCTCATGGTTGCAAGGTGAATTCCATGTATCAGAAGCATGGTTGAATAGGACATTTCCTCCTAGAATCTTCTTCAGAGAGGAACCTTTTCCCAGAATGCCCTGATGGACTTCTCTCAGGTCCCACTGGCTATGATTGCTCTGTCTATGAGAGAGGCTGGGAATAGTGATTAGCACTAGGTGCTTTTAGTGTGGGTGGTGGGCTCCAGCAGCAAGGGGCCAACAGGCACAGGCCAACNGTGACCTCAATTGACAGTTGATCCTGGTACCTAAATATTATCAGACGTAAGACTAGTATAATCTAATATAAAATAACATCAATTATCTTACAAAATGTAAATGATTCATATCTAGAAAATGCATCTTGAGAGATGTATTTCAAAAAAATTATTTTTTTAAGCCCTGGACTGGTGACTCAGTTGGTTGGAGCATCGTCTTGTACACCAAAAGGTTGTGGGTTCAATTCCAGATAGGGCACATACCTAAGTTGCAGGTTCAATCCTCTGTAGGGGTGGGAGGCAACCGGTCAATGTTTCTCTCTCGAATTGATGTCTCTCTCTCTCCTTTCCTCTCTCTCTAAAATCAATTTTTAAAAATTATTTTTTTTAAAAATTCAGCTATGAAAAAAAATCAAGATAAGTTAATTTTCTTTGTCACCACCCTCACTCCCCATCCAATGTCCTCTCCAGGTGTGACTCCTTATAGACCTTTTCATGAACATTAATATGCATATGTACATATCCATAGGAAATATATGTATGGCCATAAGTTGTATTATACTACAGATACCGTTCTGTATCTTTTTCCTCTCAAAAGGATCTTACCCACCTGTATGTTGGTGGATATAAAGCAGAGCCCCCCCTCTTTTAACCAGCAGCATAGTAGGGTACCTTACTTTACCCTCTGGGTGGGCATTTAGGTTTTCTCTAACTTTATGCTGTTGTGGAGGAGGCTGTGCTGACTGCTCCAGGCCTCCTCCTTGTGTGTGTGTGACTATTTCTCCAGGACAGAAGCCGAGGACTGGCACTACTGGGCCCTGGGGTTAGCACACTCTTTCTTTTCAAAGAGAACCCCAAGGGCCCTCCAAATCCAGCTACTGCCTCACCCAGCAGTCAGTGTTAAGCCCTCCTTCCCCATGTTTCTGCCAGCATCTGATAGTGTGAAGCATTTTAATTTTGGTCAAATCTTATGGGTAGAAGGTATCCCACTGTGTAAATATGCATTTCTCCGACTGTTAGCAAGGCTGGGCGTTTTGGGCACGTGCGCCTCCTGCACGGTGCTGTAGAAGTGCCCGTTTGCGTGTGCCACCCAGTCCTCTGTTGGGTTGTTTATTCTCTTCTCATGGATTCTTCGTGTCTCTTCAGATCCTCAGTGCCTGCTGACCAATGGCAAGCTGCCGCTCTGGGCAAAGCGGCTGGTGAGTCTGCCTGGAGACTGTGATGCCTGGGGGCTGGCAGAGTAGGGGCACCCTCCTTCATGCCCTGGTTTCTTCTAGGAGCCCCTTTCCCTTTCCATGTCTCTCTTTTCCCTGGAGAACCCCATCACCCTTCTAGTTTCAGCTTAGATAGCCCTTCATTCATGCAACATGTATTTACTGAACACCTACCCTCTGCCAGGCCTTGTTCTGGCCATTAGACACAACAGTGAACAAGGCAGACAAAATCTCTGCCTTCACAAGCTCCTTTTATTGTGTAGGAGAGGGACAGTATCCACTGTAAACTATTTGGGGAGCTGGTAAGTGCTATGGAGGAAAAAAATTGAGAAGGAAAATATTAAAATTGAACGAATGATTGTTATCTTGGAGGAGGGGCAGACTAGGAGCTGATGGGTTAGAAGCTGGTAGCAGATTCCTAAACACTAGGTTGGAGGGTTTATTTTAGGAACAAGTCAGACCTCAGATCAAAGCCTGCAGGGAAATACCTTCTGCCATTCCTGTCCCTGCAGACCAGGTCAGGGCATCTGGCCACACTCTTTCAGGCCCCCAAGCTTCCCCTTATTGTATATTACAATTGAAATTACATTCAACAAATAACCACTGTACACTTGCTTTGTGTAGGCTTTGTTCTAAGTCTTTTACATGTATTATCTTATTTAATTCTCATTGGGGTAGGAGCTTTTCATATCACCATTTCATAGATAGGGAAACTGAGGCCCAGAGAGGTTAAGTAACTTGCCCAAGGTCACACAGCTAGGACTTAGAGGACATGGGATGGACCCTTGGCAGGCTGGCTCCAGAGCCTGAGTTCTCAAACACCCACCCTCCACTGTCTCTCAAGCAACAGTCTTGGCAGTAGGCAGTGGTGGGGTGGGCCAGGGTGGGCTAGGATGTGGCTGTATCTTGGATGTGTCTGAATGGCAATAGTGACAGATTTTGCTGAAGAAATACAGTGTGGAGTATGAGGGACAGAATAAGAGAGGAATGAAGGGTGACCTCAAGGTTTGGGGCCTGAGCAGCTGGAAAGAACAGCTAGGATAGGGAAGGCTTTAGGAAAAGCAGGTTTAAGGGAAAGATCAGTTTTCAACATGTTTACTTTGAAATATCCACTAAACATCCATGTGGCGCTGTAGAGCTGTCGCATGTACACCTCTGAAATTTAAGAGCAAGGTGCAGGCTGGAGATAGGTTTCTGGAAGTTCTTTCTGAGCAGTGTTTAAAGCCAAGGGACTGGATGAGGCCCGTGCAGTGGCCCTGGCCCTTGTTGGAGTGGGTGATTGCGTGGCTGGCTGCCTGACCATCTCGTCGCCCTCAGCTAGGAGATGACGATGTGGTGGACGGCTCAGCCTTCCGCACCAAGCACAGCTACCAGCCACACGGCCGCTGGGCAGAGCGGGCTGACCAGGAGCCGCTCAAGACCATCCTGGATGTCGGTGACCTGGATTGCTACTTCACCCCCTTGAAGTCCGACAGCCTGGAGGACTCCGTTCTGGATCCAGTGGAGCCACAGAGCCTAGCAGGCCTGCTGAGTGAGGTAAGGACTTCCTGCTCCAGCCTGGCCTGGAGCCCCTGCACCATGACTGTCTGCTCAGGACTTGGAGCCTCAGGGCTCTCATTTTGAAAATAGGGTTGACTGTCCCACTCCAGGGGCAGGAGAGGATTACCTGAGATGGTAGAGGGCAGGAGGGTGAGCCCCAGGCCTGGTGCACAGTGAGACTTCCTCGGGCAGACCAGGAATCTAGGAGGTGGGTCACTTTGGGGCTTAAGAGCTTAGGCCCAAGAGCAGGCCTGTGCCTGAGTTGGTGGGCATTTGAACAAGTGGAGCCCGGCCCTACCTCTTCCCAGCTGTGTGAATTAGAACAAGGGCTGCCTCTCTGGGCTTCAGTTTTCAAAAATATAGACCTTTTTTTTAAAAGGTGACCAAAAAGATTTCTTAAAATGGTCATTAAAAAATAGCCCTCAGCGCCCGGCGGAGTGGCTCGGTTGCTTGGGCATCGTCCTGTGCACAAAGGTCGCCGGTTCAATTCCTAGTCAGGGCACATACCTGGGTTGCGGGTTTGACCCCCAATCGGAGGGCGTCCGGAAGGCAGCTGATTGATGTTACTCTCTCACATCAGGGTTTTCTCTCTGTCTCTCTCTTTCTTTTCCTCTCCCTTCTCTCTAAGCTTGTTCTCAGGTAAGGATTAAAAAAAAAAAAAA